GTATACAAAAGTTAAATATGTATGAGTTTCTTATCAAATTATGGTTTCAAAAAAATTCATATTCCCATAAAAATAAAAAAAGTAAAGATATCGACCACAGCATAATATTTCTATCCATTGTTTTATTTAAATGTTTGCAATTATTTCTTCATTTCTCAGTGAAAATAAAAATAATCAAATTTATCATTTTGACTTTTACAAATATTTCATGAAATTATCCAGTTTCTCATCGGAATAAATAAAATTTTAATAAAAGTACTCTAAATATTATCTACTAATGATAGCAAGCGCTTAGCTTGTACCTGAGAATTGTAAAAACTATATAAAGTGTTGTTTGCGCCAAGGTTTATATCATTAGCGCCATCTGTGGCAGATTTCAAAATCATGCCTAACTATCTAACTATACAGTACAGTTTTACATTCTATTTAAATTATTATCCAGATAAGTTTAAACTGTGTGGATATCGCTCCACCTGTAACTGTTAGACTTTTGGAACAAACCGAGTTATTATTGTTCTTTGTATTCCTGTTAATTCAATTCATAGAGGTTAGGGGCAAGAGCTATACTTTATTTTATTTATGTATAAATATTTTATATATTTTGTTGATATTTTATAATAATTTTAGATATAGTTAAAGCAATATCAGTATAATAAATATGTGACCCATAGATTATTTTAAAAGGATTAAATAAATTGACAGTATCCACATAGAGAATTAATATACCTTCAATGCACTAAAACATAGTCTGATGAAAAAGTAATATTTAAGCATCATCATATTTAATCTGTAAGTTTATAGCTGTTGAAGATCTCATTCTCTGAATTCATACACTACGACTACATTTGAGATTTATTATGTATATGATTCAGCTACATTCTACGTTTCAAATAACTAAAACAAACAATTTAAAGAAAACAAACAAAAAGTTATAAAACAAAGAAGAAAAGAATTGTTGGTTATTGACTGCACTTTTGTGTTCGTTACCTAAGCGGTTTTTTTGTACCCCTTACACACAGTGTGAAATGGTTTATTAAGTTTGCATAGTTGCTTATATCGAGTTATGACATAGATCAAGTTATGTCCATTTGTTTGAAGTTATTCTGTAAAAGTTGACGGAATGATTAATATCAGTAGTTAACTCCTGATAGCTGCAGATTTTTTTTTGCAGTAGGTGAAAAATTAAACAGCCAGAGTGTGAAACATTAACCCACTAAAATCACCCCTTAGGAATGAATGGATAATATTTCCACCGCAATGTGGAACTTAATTCCAGTAATTAAGGGAGAGAGATGTGATCAAGAGGCTTAACTTTATCTAAGGTAGAAAGTAAAGCGTAGCACAGGTGGAGAGGATTAAGTGAAGGGGGTGGCTTATTGTGCAAGCAGGTAGGGTGGGTTAGTGGTAAACTCTGTGACCAGGATCACGAAACTTTTGGTTATAGAGTGGGATGATGGAGCCATCAGAAAGGCTCTTATCGAAGTATAGTGTGAGGTATTGGGAAGGTTTTTAGCACATGGCTTGGACGAGGGCGACAGAAGGGGAGGGTGTTTGGGGTTGAGACGTCGGGAGAGAGTTATGTAGCCGGGTGAGTGTTAGAAGGTAATGGTTGATTGGAGTGACTTCAGCTTTGTCGTAAAGAACGGAGTCGGTGAAGTGCGTGCTATCGAGCTACCGCTTTAAGTTAGTGTGATCACGTAGGAGCTGGTGGTCGTAAAGACGGATTCTTTCTATCTCGACAGAAGTGATCACAGACCAAATTCGGAAGTCGTACGAGAATATGGATTGAATGAGCTGTTTATAGCAGAGGAGTTTAACTTCACAGTTAAGCTGGTTGTACTTACAAAGGGCACAGACACCGTGTGGAATAAAGTTGTGCCGAAGAGTTAGTATAACACCGAGATAGTTGAAGTTGTCAACAAGCTGAAAGGGAGTATGTCGAACTTTAGCTTGATAACTTTAGCTTGGCATCAAAGCGATTAGGGCGATCTTTGATATTGAAAAACTATGGCCAAAATCTTAATGGGGTTAATCTTCCACCTAGTGTAATAGTTAAGAATAAAATGATAAAATGTCTTGTTAAAATTCTTTAAAGCGGTTTACTTCATAAATTAAACGCGTAAAAATCTAATGTAGTAATACAATGTGACTTAATGAAATTAAATAAATGGTGTATAAGATTTTTTCATTATTAATAATTTAATAATGATTTAATTTAATAATTGTAAATAAGAATTAATTTATTAATGAACTCCAAATAAGTGTATGTAAAGAGTAAGTAAACATCGGCAAAGCCAAAGGTTTTCACTTTTCTTATTTTTGTATAAAAATTAACAAAGGTTATTAACATTATTAACAATAAAAAAAAAACAATATTTTTTGTAATTAGTTTTGCAGTAATTTTTAATTTTTTTTTGTAATTTATTTCAAAAGAAAAATAAAACGGCGGCAGTATGTCTGGCAGGCATAGTTTTTTTTTGCTGAAAAAAAATCTATAGAAATGAGAATATAAACAAAAAGCTAATAAAAATAGAAAATACGTGAAAAAAAAACTAAAAACTAAAACTTTTTGCTTAATTATTCAAAGCGAAAATTTATTCCATAAATTAAGGTTTATTGTCATTCCTGCTAATTGAGATTAAAAAACTGTGTCACTATAGCAAATTTAGTGATTTTAGTAGAAGAAAACAGCGCCAGATATCAGAATCTTAATTGTTTATAATATTCACATAGGAAGACAATATACTACAGAGAACTTTTATCTCATATTAGTTATTAAAAAAGTGTCTTTATAATTTATTAATAATTTAATTAATCACACAACAACGGTTTATGGAAAACTTAAAATACATATATAGAACAAGAGAGTAACAAGAGAGTAACAAGAGAGAACAAGAGAGTATTTAAATACATATGTAGTTCAGATTAAGTACTCGCAAATTGTGGAATTATTTTTATAGTTCAGATGAAGTTATTTCTATTAAAATATCGGTTAAAGATCACAGTTTATAGAAACGAAGTATTATAGGAGGTGGTTACCTAAAATGTATAAAAAAATTATTTCTCAACTACCCAATACCGACTTATATTTCAATCAGCATATAGTTGGGTATCTCTAGCTCAGTAACTTAATACACTATAACAATATTTTTTTAAGTGTCAACACACAAAATAAAAGAACACATTTTTTAACATCTGTTCATTTTATTATTAGTAAACATTCTCAAAAACAATGTCATATGATTCCGAAAATAATAAATAAATATAAGTTATTTATTTATTTCTTTCTTTCAATCTTACGGCTAAGAACTCATAATAAATGTATTGAATTACAATAATTATGTCAAAGTAGTAACCTTAAAATTATAATTGATTGATGCCAATTAAAAAATACATTCGACTCAAGTTTAAATTCATACTTCTTTCATTTGATCTTTACTAGTTCTTTATAAGTTCCATTAGGACAAATGTGACCCTGAATACCAAAGTTTTTTCTTCTTCTTAAATATTTACAACAATAACTTACTTTGACGACAGATATATAAATGATTTTATTAAGCTTCAATTTAATTATATATTACTATACAATAAATTTTTTTTTAGAATATTTAGTATAAATACTAAATAGTGATTAGTTATGTTAAACAGTGATTCCCTTAATTGTTTTTGCGGTAATGATGTGATCATCAGATCTTCGTTTTAACTGTCATGATCATTTTGATTGCTCGTATAAGATCATTCTTTATTCTATACATACTTCTACTCTGTATATTATTAAATGTAGGTTCTAAATATTACTCCGATCAACAGTATCAGATTCATTGTGAATCTTTCTTATAGGCTCGATTTTGTCATTTCCAGTTATAGTCAGAATGAATATCGTGTTTACACTGAAAATATTATTCGTTTACGCTGTATAAGTTTTATAATTCCAAACTAATATAAACTAAATGTTTATGTAAAAATATATAAACAATAGCTTAAAAAGCAAACTTGTTAAAGCTCAGGATTATACGTTTTATTTTTCTGAAAGAATACGTAAATATCTAAAACCACTTACAGATAAGATATTGAATAAATTTTTATTGGCATATATTATTTGAACCCAACCATTAATGTAATAAATGTATAATTTCATTTAAATGTTCTATGTAGAAAATCTTACAGTATTGGATTCTTTTAAGGTAGTTTCCGAAGACTTGTGGCCACATACGTAGCAATAGCTCAGTCATATTTTAAAAAATATCGCGTTCATGCTTTCAACGTGACGAGAGTTTGAGCATTGTCCTTATAAACATTCTTTAACGTAACTTTAAAAAAAAAGTCCAGCGGTGGGAGACGGCATGATCTTGTTACCAATTTTACAACAACACAATGTAAAATTATATGCTCGGTAAATTTATCAAGTACAATCCTCTTGTACATCCATTTCTTTAATTTCACGCAAAAATAATTTGTAATTATATAATCGTAAGGGCCAGAATTGAAGGATTGTGTGAATTTTTCAGGTCTGAAAGGTCCCCATTTTCAAAAAAGTAGGGAACTATGACACCTTCAGACCAAATACCATATGCTGCAAATGAAGTTTTATGGATGCAATGATATTTCAACAGTTATTCAAAACTTTATACTTACGTTCAAAACTGTTACTGAAGAACTCTATTCGACAAGTTGTCTTCCAAACTTTGCTATTTGGGCATATCCAATGAGCATACCTTTGACGCATTCCATGGTTCATGGTGTGAAATGAACCAGAATTTAAACTAAACAGATGTAATAAAAATAATGTTTAATATTCTATTTTTAGTTATTGCATACATAAAATATGAGAATCAAATGGAGTTTCTTTTTTCTATTTGACAAGTTGTCTTTCAAACTTTGCTATTTGGGCATATCCAATGAGCATACCTTTGATGCATTCCATGGTTCATGGTGTAAAATGAACCAGAATTTAAACTAAACAGATGTAATAAAAATAATGTTTAATATTCTATTTTTAGTTACTGCATACATAAAATATGAGAATCAAATGGAGTTTCTTTTTAAAAACAATATTATATCTACTATCTGTATCCTTCGTAACCACACAAAAAGATGAGGTCACACCAATTAAAGCAGAAAGAAAGCCACCTCACATTATATTTATACTAGCAGATGACTTGGTATGACAGTTATTGTTTCATTCGAAATTTAAATGAAACTTATTCTATTTTAACAGGGTTTTAATGATGTTGGTTTTCATGGCTCAGCACAAATCCCCACACCTAATATAGATGCTCTGGCATATACGGGCATAATACTTAACCGTTATTATGTTAATCCGATATGTACTCCATCACGATCCGCCCTAATGACGGGAAAATATCCAATACATACAGGTATATAGGTAGGATTTGTGTATTTTTTGAGTTGGGTTAATAAAAAACGTAAGAGTTTAAGATTTTCAAGCATTTGTATTTATATTGTTTAATAGGTATGCAACACACAGTTTTATACGGAGCTGAACCACGTGGACTTCCACTAAGCGAAAAGCTTATGCCCGAATACTTTAATGATTTAGGGTATGCAAAAAGGTTCCAATTAGTATGTGGATACTTGTTTACCAGATATTTTTTATACAGATATTCCTCTCATATTGCTGGAAAATGGCATTTGGGTCATTACAAACGGATATATACACCACTTTATAGAGGCTTTCGTTCTCATGTTGGTTTTTGGACTGGTCATCATGATTATTTCGATCACACAGCACAGGAAAATCCATCTTGGGGCCTTGACATGCGCAGTGGTATGAAAAAATTTCACAAGAGCAATATTATGAAATTTAAAAGAATTTTAAAAAATGTCAAATGTTGAATCTACATATTTTATTTGGATTATAGCTTTAGATGTGGCTTACGATTTACATGGCAAATATACTACAGATTTAGTTACGGATGAGTCATTACGTGTTATAGGTTTACACAACTCTTCGCAACCATTATTTTTGTATGTTGCACATGCTGCAGTACATTCAGGAAATCCTTATAATCCATTACCAGCACCTGATGATGCAGTAGAGAGGATGAAACACATTGAAGACTTTAAACGAAGAAAATATGCTGGTTTGTAGTATTATATATACTAATCATATCAATAATACTGATATATAAATATTTCTTTGAAATTTAGCTATGTTATCAAAATTAGATGATTCTGTTGGTCGAATAGTTCAAAAATTAGAAAAACAAAAAATGTTAAATGATTCTATTATAATATTTAGTACTGATAATGGTGGACCTGCTGAAGGGTTTAATCTTAATCATGCATCAAATTGGCCTTTAAGAGGTGTGAAAAATACTCTTTGGGAAGGTGGAGTACGTGGAGCTGGTTTGATTTGGTATCCAAAAATAAGAGGAACAGGTCGTGTATCTGAACAAACAATTCATATAACAGATTGGCTTCCCACCCTTGTTGATGCAATCGGAGGAGATAATGCATTAGCGTTAGTATAAAAATACGAGTATAATGAAAACATGATTTTATAAGTTTTAAAAAACATGATCAAAAACTAGAATGTGTAAATTTAGTTACTATATGTACCTTAATAATTTATTTTAAATAGAAATATAACTGCAAAATTAGATGGTGTTAGTATTTGGAATGCCCTAACACAGAATACAATTTCTCCACGAAGAACTATTTTGCATAATATCGACGATATATGGGGTAGTGCAGCTATAACCATTGGGGATTGGAAAGTAGTTAAAGGCACCAACTATCAAGGTGCTTGGGATGGTTGGTACGGACCTGCGGGCATCCGGGATCCAAAAATGTATGATACTAGACAAATTTATAGAGGTTTAGCAGGACGAGCTATAAGCACTTTGAAAGCTCTTCCGAGTTTGGCAGAAATTACACGTTTGCGTAGAAGTGCCTCAGTAGATTGCGCTGTGAATTTTTTGTATTTGCAACAAGGTGCAATATGCAATCCACTCAATGCGCCATGTCTATTCAATATTAAAGATGACCCGTGCGAACAGTTCAATTTATCAGAGAAGTATGTAGTTGTTAACATAATAAAACCTGTACAATTATAAAGTAAGAATAGTAATTTAATAATTTAAATATAAAATCCCTTCTAGGTATCCTCACATTTTAAATTCTTTACTTGATGAACTTCAACGTTTTAATAGCACAGCTGTGCCACCTTCCAATAAACCCTTAGATCCAAGAGCAGATCCTCGTCTATGGAACTATACATGGACAAATTTTGGAGACTATGAGGAGGGTAAAAATACAATTATAGGTTCAATAAATATATAATACAGTTAATAAGCATTAAGTTATTTAAAATAAGAATTAAAATAAAAAATTTTGTCCTTTATAGGAAAATGAAATTAGTTGGTAGTAAATAATAGTTAATAGAATTTGTAGTTATAAAGCAAAAACAATATTTTTTAATAAAAAAAATTAAATTAAATATTATTTAATAGTTAAAACAACATAAAAATCACTTCCTTCTTTAAAGAAAAAATTTTAGTTGAAGAAGTGCTAAAAGTTGATGGTATGGATGGTAAGTCTGATTTAGTAAAATTTGTTAATTTTTGTTTAATTATCCAGAAAAATTTAGAAAAAATATCAGTAATGTTACTTTACTATTAAAGTTTCATAATAATCATTACTCTAAGTTAAAATATCTTAATAGTCATAATTTAAATGTAGATCGGTGGCTACCATCATTCTTATGGGCTTTAATGATACGTATTGATGAAATGAGTAGATTGTAGACTGTGAATCATGGATTTAAGAACAATATTAGAATTGAAAACATTTAAATAATACATATTTTTTATTTTTATTTTGGATAATTAATTTCCAACTTTTTATTTCAACATTTGCTATGCCTTCTTGCTTTATGCTAACCTAAAATAGGTGGAACAGGATAAAAAAAGCTAAAGTCTCTTTAAAACTTAGGATTCAAGATTATAAAAGGAATATATCAGAATTTTAACAATAAAGTAAATACAATTTATATATATTATATAATAAAAGATAAATGCATACATACAAACATATGTATTCCTTAAAACAATATGTAAATAATAAAAAGGTCTATACAAAAAAAACTAGTTCATATATACGTATTCTAGAGCACATCATACAGGAGTAAATATCATTGTTCTCGAAGTTTTCTTTACACGAGGAATTTTATTAATAATTGTAACCATTGCCGTCGTTTAGACCATTTTGTCCACCAGGTCCAAATGAGTCTTGATCGCCATTTCGTCCACTACCAATCGCACCAGGACGACGACTTGTATATCCTTGTCCTAAATTATCTTGTCCGTTTGGCTTACCATTACCGTATCCCTGACCATCATTAAATTGACCGCCAGTACCGTTAGTACCTGGACGACCATTTGAGTAACCCTGCCCTTGGTTATCTTGACCATTTGGTTTACCATTATTTTTTCCTTGACCACCATTTCCATTTGGGCGTCCATTAGAATATCCTTGTCCACCTTGTCTATCTTGACCACCTGCACGACCATTACCTAAATTCTGTCCTAAGTTATCTTGTCCTGTTGGTTTGCCATTGGTATAACCTTGACCATCGTTAAATTGTCCGCCAATTCCATTTAATCTACCACCATCATAAGATTGTCCTAAATTATCTTGTGCAGTTGGTCTACCACCACTGTAGCCTTGTCCTTGACTATCTTGGCCATTTGGACGTCCATTTGAATAACCTTGTCCTTGGTTATCCTGTCCACCTGCACGACCATTGGTGTAGCCTTGTCCTAAGTTGTCTTGTCCAGTTGGTCTGCCACTGTTATATCCTTGACCATCATCGTATTGACCGCCAACACCATTACCAGTAATAGCATCACCTTCATAACGCACTTGTGGGCGATAGCCTTCTTCATCGGCTTCATATTCAACGATCTACAAAATAATATAAAATGAGGTTTTAAATTCAGTACTATGGTTAGGAAAAGCGGGTAAGGGGGAAGCTGAAATTATTTTTAAACCGCTTACTTGCTTTCTGCCATCGGGCAACAAAACATTGTATTGGCCCGTTGTGAAATCACCATCACGCATCTCTGAGTGCGCAAACGACAGACTACTTGGTGCGTCTTCAACTTCGTAATTAAATTCATATTTAGCAGGTTCCTATGAAAAGTTTAATGACATTTTTTGACACCTTAGTTTTTTTAATTTAGCACAAAAAGCATTAGCTAGGTTAAAATAAATAAAAGTATGAGAAGCTTAAAAGTTTCTGCGTGTAAAATTGTAGAGTAGTTAAGAGTAGAAGGAATAAGAAGCTTGTAAGTTGTTTTTGCGTTTTGTTGTTGTTTGGAAGAGAACAAGTAAGAACAGTAGCAAAGTAAAGCAAAAGTATAGTTTTAGTTCACTTACATTATTTTGACTATCATCAGTACCACCATAAGTACCACTAACACCGCCAGCTCCACGTAAGCCACCAGCGCCATTGATGCTACCTTGATCATATTGGTAGCTGCTATCACCACCTCGTTGACCATTTCCATTGGAAGTTGCACGGTTTGGAGGCAAGTAATCCTGTTTTGGCTGACCAATACGTCCATTACCTTGACCATTTCCATTACCATTACCATTGCCATTGCCGCTGCCATTGCCATTGCCATTACCAGAGGCTGGAGCACTGTAACTATCCGACAAACCATTTCGTTCAGGTGCACCATATAGTCCACTTGGACGTCCATTGTTTCGTTTAGGGGCACCATAACTACCAGAAAGTTGGCCAGTACCTTGTCTGGGAGCACCATATGTATTTGATGGTGACGATAGTGCATTACCATTCAGATCTGGTGCATCATAATTAGTTGATGGTCGTGCATTGCCATTTCCACCTTGGCCAGGAGCTCCATAAGTACTTGATGGTCGACCTAAATTGTCCGTTATTTGATTTGGTGAGTAAGCGTTGGAAAGAACACCATTGCGGTCTTCACCATTACTGGGTACACCATAAGTACTCGATGGACGTGATAAGCCGTTGTTTGTTTCTCCAGGTGCACCATAAGTGCTAGACGGACGACCGCTACTGCTACCACCAAAAGAGGGTGCTCCATAAGTATTTGAAGGGCGTCCATTGCCAATACCGTTTTGGTCTGGTGGACCATAAGCATTTGAAAGACTACCTGTACCTTGATTTGGTGCACCATAAGCACTTGATGGTCGTCCCAAATTACGTCCATTACCTCCTTGTTGAGGAGCACCATAAGTATTACTTGGAGTATCGCCACTTAAATTGCCACCTTGATTTGGTGCACCATATGAGTTTGAAGGACTAGCAATGTTAGTGTCAGTGCGACCACGACCAGGTGCGCTGTAACTACCAGATGGTGCGGAGGCAGCGCTTGCCATTGGAGGTAGATAGGCATTAAGAGGTGGTTCAGGACGTGCCAATGTGGTTGTAATTAGTAGTAAAAAACACAACTTTTTAAACATATTTACTTAGAATATTTTTTAATCAAATTAACTAATTATTATTTTGTATAAATTCTTTTTAAATTTTTTTATTGCCACTATGGATACGGACTACTACGTATGTTAGTTAAGTCCTTTACTCTATCCTTTGTATATGCACTGCTTTAGCCACTCTTTCACAATTCACTATGAACTGTTTGCTGAGAAACTTTGATTCTGACTGATTTCTAAGTTCGAATCGCCAGTTATTTATATTGAACTCAACATGCATATGTGCTGTATGCTGCTTTGACAGATTACTAAACTGAAAGTCGAGGATTCAAACTGCAAAGTCAAAAATACATTACATGTACTTTGTGTTTTTTTTTTATTTTATTCTGAGATGTGTGCTGCTTCGCTCAATGCGACGATATCGCTCAACATTTCTGTGTCTATAAATACAGCTGTTTTATTTGAAATTGTTGTTGTATCTGCTATTTAACCGATAAAGCCGTCACTTGTACTGCATCTAACCATATGTGCATTATGATCATCATTTTTGCTTATCATCAATGTGTTTGTTCTACCAACGTTCAAATCATCTTATTCGGTTAACTAAACTGCCATCAACGACACCAGCGCCAGCACCAGCACCAGCACCAGCACACCAGCACCGCTAGCACAAACAACAACGCATAACTTAACTTGGTGCTGGATGTCATGCCACAGGTACGAATACTCCATATGATCATGCAGAAGCAGCGAGATGCATGCACTTCACTCGTAGTTGAAGGTATCTTTCGGTGTTTTTGTTGTTGTTTGAGTCGGTGGCTATGGTTTAATGGCAGCATAGTAAGTTAATGATGAGGATTTGGATGAGGAAGAGGAAGAGTATAGTGCAGTGTGTGTTCGAGTAATGTGTAACATTACAGTTTCAAAAATGTAACTCACGAGAAGCATCATCTACATTGATTTGATGATCGTTTTGATAATCTGCTGCAATGGAATGGTTTTGTGAGTATGCAAAAACAGTGTCTCAGAAGTGATTGTGATGTGTTTATTTTATTTGTTTTTGGCATATTGTTTTTATTTTATTAGATACTTTTCTGTAATGTAACAAAACTTTGCCACAATGCATTAACTGCAATTTAAATTTAGTCACATCAAGTGAATGCCTTCTGTTTTGTCAATGAATTGTAGTAAATCGTGCAGCTTGAGGGTCAATAGTAATCCATTTATTTAATTTCTGTAGATAGACGTAGATTCTTTAAAAAATATTGATTTGACAATTATGTATATTTTCAAAAAAATATGGTTGTTTTGTCAGAAGTTTATTGGTTAATATGGTTTTCGGAATGAATCAGATCATTGATTCATTTCGAATAATCACCGATATGAATAAGTACTACTGATGTCATGATTCTATTGTAAAAAGACGATAAGAATTTAAGAATATTTATGACGACTAAGCAATGTTAACAAATTTGCTGATATAATACAGAAAATGTAAAGTCAAAAGGATTTTCACACTTTCAAAAGATATATACTTCTAGTTGTTTAGGTAGTAAATCGAATTAATATGAAGGCGTATGCCTCACGCCTTTATATTAATTCGTTAGTGTTTCAAAACGGAAGCTGTAGCTTTGGACCTAAAGCACTGTTACCTAAAGGCACTGTTATTATTGGAGCTAATTACTGTGATACATAAACTATTTGTATTGATAAATTTTATATTTTGAATAAAAAAGGAACTTTCAAAACATAAAACAATTATTTTAACATTGTGTTTATTTGCTTTTATCTTATTTAATTTTCCCTATTGCCATCAAGTCTCAAATTTGTCTATTTTTTTTGTATCTTCGTCTTAACCATTTATTCATCTTACTATTTCGATTTTAATTAATATAATATTAATCATGTAACCAATATTTCAGCTCCTTCATAGCCCGCGCATAGGCGATGAAGAATATAACAT